AGGGTGGGGTTCGCGAATGAAGCTTGGGCCATTTTCCCCAAGCTTATGTGGAGACAGGTCTCGAGGTGCTTTCCGGCTTACATAATCTCATGAGCTCATAGTAGACCAACCCAGAGCATCTCTCTAACCCTCTTTCAATGTTTTAATGCTGATTTAATTGATGGCTAATCAACAACATATATATCTTGTATCTCTATAACTACGCTTCCTGCAGCATATTTACTGGTTATCAATCGACCAACAATCATAAGAGGTTTCAAAGACAACTTGAAAGTCCCTATAGTATCCCTATAGTACTTGGCTATTAGCTCGCCTGGACGACATGACTCTTTATTCGAGTGTGTGATATTGGATATAGTGCTTGTCCATTTATTGCATTTGATGGCTGAGTAAGAGGAACCTAGCTACTGCGATAGGGTGGGAGCATCAGGAGTTGAAAAAGCATCGTAAGCCACTTGCGCCACGGAACCAATATGTCAATCTCGAAAAGTCAAACTACCGATCCGTGGATACTCGACGGGGTCTGTAAGGAAAAGGTTATAATTCATTCTGCGGTTTTCGTTTCGGCCGATGAAATACAGACTCGAGCACTTGAATCGAGGGAGCGTAGACCTTTCCTAATGAGATAGGGACCCCTACTTGAAGTGGCAGAGATGATTTTAGTAGGCAAACGCTTCCAGATCCTCTTAACGAAGCGCGAGGCAACGGGTGTATTTACGTCGCAACCAAATCAGAGTCAACAGAAGAATAGAATGGATTGACACCCCAAGTTATGTGCCTGGAGCCAGTTTGGTGTAGGCCGGACCACCTGAGACAAGGTGATTTCCCCAGAGACAGGGCGCATCAAAGTTCAGGCCTTATATGGCAGCTTGTCTCAGGAGATATTGGTCCTTCGCAATATGATGTGCTCGCTATGGTGCCTTGGAGAGCAGTCGGATCGGCATCGTAGGGTGCGTTAGGCCCGCCTAATCTCTGCTCGAATTCTCCCCTGGATCAGGAGGACAAAACAAGCCATGTATAGATAAATAGGACGTCCGGTCCGATCGTTGCTTATTGGAGCCAGAATGTTCTGCATCGGGTTTATAGCACAGCAAGCAGTAGCCAGGGAGTTGTAGGAAGGTGAAGGAAAAGTCGAGAAAGCCGGATCAAGACCTCACATCCACCAAGATGTTGAACCACGTCGTCCTTGCGGCTCTGGTCCCGGTTATTCTGGCCAAACCCATCGTGTAAGTCTTCTCCTTCGGTTGTAAACCTCCCATCTAACATAGTTAGGGCTCCGTGGAATGTGGCCGAACCAACTGCGGCGGCGCAGGTGGCCGGTCGACAAATTTCGGGCGAGCTTTGGAACAATATTACCGGAGACCTACTCAAGGACCTGACCCCGAGCAGCGCGGCCAAGGCAAGCCATCCCCCTAGTGTTACGCCTTTCCTGAGGAGAGATGAAGAATCCACATCGACATCTACCTCTATTGAGTTTACGGACTGGACTTCGACTTCGGTCAGTGCCGCGGCAGCTTCATCCAGTATGGCCAGCTCGAGCTGCGACTGTATCTCCGAGTGTGCTGACAAGCACGGGCCGCCGTCCGACTCTCACCTGACAGCTGCCCAATTGACCTGTATCCAATCCTGTGCCGAGTCATGTGATGGCGACGACGACAAGGCCAAGAAGTCGGATCTCCTAGGTAGTCTCGGTCTGGGCTCCCTCAGCCTGCGACAAGTCGCCCCCTGGCATGGAAGAACCCACCCTCCCTTCGAGCCCCCCAAGGTTTCCGCTCACTCCGACTCGGAGTGGCAGGACTGCATGAACAACTGCACGACTCACAACTGCCAAAACGCCGATATTGGTGACAACATCTCGCAGTGCGGCGACACCACATGCGAAGACAACTGCAGGAGTTTCAAGAAGGACACCTCCGCGTCTGCGACCTTCCCGTCGCTCAACAAGAAGCAGTTCATCCCGCCACCCCCCGGTGCCTTCTTCATGGAAAGGCCGCACCCCGAGGCTTCTGCGTCTGGCGGCTTCGACTTCAGCGCTTGCATGGACAACTGCACCACGCATAACTGCCAGACCGCGGACAGCGGGGACAACATCTCCCAGTGCGGCGACACCTCGTGCGAGAGCACCTGCGCCCAGTTCAAGACGGATAAGGGGGCTGGTATTGTTGCGTAAAAAAAGATTGACGTATCCCATCAAACTTGATCTAAGCCGTTGGAGATAACAACACATCTTGAGCACTCTTATACCTCGTGCCTTGGTGATTCATATGCAAGAGATGGACGACACATGACGAATGCCAAAACTTTCTTCCCTTTGTACTACAGCGATGGATGGGGGCAGCCATCACAGATTGATTGTAATACTTTCGCCAGCTCCAGATTCATTTTGTTTGTAATTTAATTCAGTTTACTAATGCCTCTTTACAAACCACCATGAGTCTTGACTGACTTAACCATGTGGTTGATGACATGTGAAGCATTTTACTCTTGCTCAGCGCATCCTCGATTTTTCAATCATACATCAACTATTTGTTTCATGGCACCCCGACCTCCCACACTCACACATCAAGACCCCCTACCCCTGCAACGCCTCCTCCAGCGTCTTCCCCGTAAGCCTCCGGAAGACCTCCTTGTAGCGATCACTCGTAGCCTTCAAGATATCCTCAGGCACCTCCACGCCCTCCTTGCCCTTGAGCCCGTGCTCCGTCAACCAGTTGCGTAGGAACTGCTTGTCAAAACTCTCCTGGTCGCGGCCGGGCTCGTACTTATCCTTGGGCCACATGCGGGACGAGTCCGACGTCAGCACCTCATCGACGAGCACGACCTCGTCGGTCTCCTCGTCGAGCGCGAACTCGAACTTGGTATCGGCGATGATGATGCCGCGCGCGGCGGCGTGCTCCTGGCCCGCGCGGAAGACCTGCAGCGCCAGCTCCTCGATGCGCGCCGCGTACCCGGCGCCGACGATCTGCGCCGCGCGCTCCTTGCTGATGTTCTCGTCGTGCTGGCCCAGCGGCGCCTTGGTGCTCGGCGTGTAGATGGGGCCGCCCGGCACGGCGTCGCACTCGCGCAGCCCCGGGGGCAGCGGCGTGCCGTGCACCGTGCCGCGCGCCTTGTACTCCTTCCACGCGCTGCCCGTCACGTACCCGCGCACGATGGCCTCCAGCGGGAACACCTTCAGTTTTCTGACTTGCATGCTGCGGTTCCGGATCAGCTGCGCCTCCGCGGCCGACACGGCGGCCGGCACGTCCGTGGTCAGGAAGTGCGTCTTCAGTCCGGGCACCTTCTCGCTCAGGATCTTAAACCAGTGCGCCGACTGCTGGGTGAGCAGGGCGCCCTTGTCCGGGACGCCGTTCTTCATGACCACATCATAGGCGGAGATGCGGTCCGTGGTGACGAATAGCAGGGTGTGCTCGTCGACGTTGTACAGGTCGCGCACTTTGCCCTCGGCGAGCTTCGGGAGTGACGTCAAGTTGATCTCGGTGAGGACTTGGTTAGAGCCCATCTTGCCCCTTTCTACGGTATGTTTTATTGTTGGTGGCTTCTCGGATTCCCGAATCGATATGACGTGGGCGTCGACCTGGGGTAGAGTTGAGGTGATTACAGGGCTATTGATTGGTGCGCTATTTGGTGGCTCCCGAGATGATGAAATACTTGAGATGCGCCGGGAGAAAACTTTTTGTAAAACTAGATCGGAGCAAATCGGCGCTCTTTCATCTATTACGACTTATCAAAAATGACCAACTCTTAAATATACCTCACAATTATTTTAGATTGGATGATAATATAAATTGTTTCTTGAGAAAATGCAATCACATGCATTATTCTCGAATTCCCCCCCAAATCGCCTGCGCATGGAATTGTTCTGGAACCCCACCATTTCGTGTAACATCTCGAATCTAATCTTGTACCGAAGTATCCATTTATCCAATCTATTAGATAAGCTCGTGATACTCACAAACTTGAAGCTTCGAGTTTGTTGACTTTACAATGTTATTTAAATCCGTTGAGGTTTTCTTTCTTTCTTTTCCCAAACGCTCTTGTGAGCCAAGGGACATGCCGATCGCTTGAAACTCGTTACATGATCTGGAACTCATTTTCTCGATAGCTAAGAAAAGCTTCCATGTCAATCCCAGTCAACTCACATTGAAAAGAAGATCTCCATACATAATGCCCTCATCCCCTGTATGACAACCCATGGCTTCGGGACAGCGGAACTGGGGATACATCGCCATTTAAGCACCAACCACTCTGTGGTCCATGTCCCAGATCCCGATCGACGACGTCGACCCCTCTTAAACATGCTCGTGTCAACCTGTTGAGTCTCAAAGGTGGACTTTTCAAGTGAAAACTTTACGTCTACATACTCATAACAAGGTAGTATTGCTATTCATTTTATATATACTCCAACCTCGCACGATGGCATCCTACGGACCCCAAGACTTTGCTATGGGCGATCCCCCGAAGACCCCCGGCGAGTTCAAAAAGCGACTTTTCTCCCTCATCATCGATTCCAACCTCCCCTATACAGCCTTCACTGCCCCCCAATTCAAGACTCTTCTATTCCTTTTTCAAGGAAAAGACGAATTCCTCGACACCTTATTTCCCAATGGCAGTTGGATTACACGGGATTGGCTCATTGAAACCTATCCAGACGTAAGATCCGAACTGGATCCCAAATTTCTGGCCCGCGGCGATCAGATGGTCAGAACATGGACCTTAGAGAAGCAACGTGAGGAGCGTACGAATGTTTAGGCCGATGGGTGGGATGTTGCTTGCCTTTTGATGGGTCTAGCCCGACAGCAGCTTGGACTGGGTCGATCGACGCTTTTTGGGGATCTGATGATGTAGGAGGCCTCCACAGTGAAGGAAGGTGTCCACAGCTGTATTATCACCTGGGCATGCGTCTACACCATCTGAATGATCATCATGAATTCACGGAGATTGCCCAGTTTCGAATTCTCAACCTTCTTTCTTAACCTAAAAAGCAATGCTAAAAAGAACGTCCGTCTCGGCTGGAATCGAACCAGCATCGCCTGTACTCAAGATACAAGTATGAGTGAGGCGGGCTACCATTGCCCCACGAGACTCTTTTGCTGTTGTCTCCGTCACGGCTTGATTCTTGCTCTCTTTAATTTTCGTTATATCAAACCTTACACTAATGGGGTTCCATACATGATTACTTTTCATATGGAAGGATTCAAAAGCGCGACTTATCCGAGGCAATAGGTAATCGGGGTTATTCTTTCTCCGCTCATTTTTCTATTCTCTAAACCTTCACTTCCCACCATTCTCTTGTCGAGTCTTTCTTGATCACCACAAATTCCCTTCTATCGCAACCCAGCATACATTGCTGCTTTCGTCATCGATCCGAAAGCTTCAAGATGAAGAATACTTGTCTTCGATATGATATGATATGATGGTTCTTATCTAGACTTGCTAATCACTATTATGACTACGAAGCTAACCTGCATGTCACATGTGCAAGTATTAATGAGGGTGATGGCTGGCAACTCAAATCGATTAATAGGATCTCAGCTCAGATGTGGCCCAGGACTCAAGAGCCTCATGAGGTATGTCCAGAAGACATGACCACAGGCCACATCGTTTCATCATTGATCCAGTCGAAAAGAGCCCCAAGACCAAATTTCGACACGAAAACTAACAAACATCAAACAAGAAATTCCAAAAACCAGCATGTACAAAGGAAAGACATAGGAAAAGCATAGGAAAAACAAAAGCAAAACAAAGAAAAAGAAACATAAACCAGAAAACTCGAAGCCAAGAACCCGATACCGACCCTTCTCCCCAACGCGCCAGTTCCCACGGTTCTGCAGTGTCCCTAAAACGAGCGACTCCTGAACCAGCCAAATGAATGTGAAACCCTAACAAGGAATGAAAGTGTAGAAGAGGAGAGGAAAGGGGGAGAGACAGGGAAAGAGGGAGAGAGAGGAAAAGAGGGAAGGGGGAGGGGAAGGGGAGAAAAGGGGGGGGGCAAGGGAAGTGAAAACGGGAGAGGAACAACCGTGTGAAACCTATCCAAAAGAGTGAACCACCAAAACCCGAAACCAAACGAGGGACAACCAATCCAGAACACCGGGACACTGCAGAACTGTCTACCCAAAACAACCCCGAAGCGAGCGACGAATCCCTGGAGAGGGTTTAGCAAGAAAACCACACAAGCGAAAGGGGTCCACATACTTAAAAGAGCGTGATGTCTAGCCGGTAAACCAATACGCCAGACCGGCCCCGACAGCAGCAGCAGCGACAGCAACACAAGCGAGCGACTTCCAGCCGAACCCTTCTCCTCGGGGTGGCTCTTCCACCGTCTGCCGCGTCTCCACAGCCGAAGCCAATGGAAGCTGACGCAGAGTGTGGAAGTGCCGAGAAGCGGGGGTCGGCGGAGGAGGAGGAGGAGGAGATGCTAACCGCACCGGCGCGGTGTAGGACTCCGGAATGAACGTGGGCGGCGCTTCTTCCTCTTCGATCGCCTCTTCGATCAAAGGGGAGGAAGGCCGGGAGAAAGAGCGGAAGTGACGGAGGATGTCCCCGGTCGAGTTCGAACGAGTGGATCCCCCAGAGCTGGAGGAGACGGAACGAATGTGAAAGGATCCCAGAGAGGAATCCGTGTCGTTGGGAAGGCGGTCCCGGATGCCGGTCTGTGCGCGTTGCGCCTGTCGCTGCCGCAGCCTCTCTTCTGCCTCCCGGAGCACGTCGAGGTAGCTCCCAGGCTGCTCCTCGACGTCCACATCGAGCGGGGAGGAGGGCTCGGATGGTGGTGAAGGAATGGACGCGTCCGAATGGGACGCAGAAGGAACGGACGGGATCTTGGCGGAGAGATCTCGGGTATTTCTCTCAGATCTCTGCGAAGATCGCCGGGAGTGAATGGACGCATCCAAGCTGGATGCAGGGGGAGCGGACGGGATCTTGGCCGAGCAATCTTGAGTATTTCTCTCAGATTGCCGGGAAGACCGCCGTGAATGAATGGACGCGTCCGAATGGGACGCAGAGGGAACAGACAGAATCTTGGCAGAACGATCTCGAGTATCTCTCTCAGATCGCTGCGAATATCGGCGCGAGTGAGTGGACGTATCCAAGCTGGATACAGAACCAGAACGACTGGAGAGAGGAGAGAATTCGGGCATAACAATCCGCTCCAACTGCGGGTTGTACCTCGAATCATCGAGCCTCATCTGCAGTAGCCGCGTTGGCCAAGGTGCTTCATCTATGTTAACCCAGGATGAGTCTGGGGATTTCGAACGAGTGGATACATGGGAGGAGAACGATCCCATGTAGTTGGGTTGGATGAAGCTAAATGTGTCTGGCTCCAAACTGTCTGTTGAGGTGGCGGGAGGGCTCCAATTCGGTTTCATTGCGAGAACGGCCTTGATCTTTGCCCGAAGAACAGGGTGTAAACGAGCGAGGGGGTCTTTCGGGCTGTCATCTGACTGGTACGTCACATCTTCAAACTCCCAAGACGGCGAGTCCCAATCGGACCAGGTCCAATTGTGACGGGCGTTATCGGGGCTGAACATGCTCGGTGACCAGGGAAATGGTTGGCCGTTCGAGTCCAGGTTTCGAGAAGGAGTGTGGGGGGGTTCCAAAAGATCGTGGGTCTCGCAATGAGAGCAGGTTGCTGAATGAGCGTGGGGAGTGGCCGAGCTGACGGGCTCGGGTCCGGTTTCGAAGTCAGGCGAACGAACGACGCGCTTACGCGGTCTCGTTTCGACTGGAGGCGAAGCAGCGATACGCTTCTTCGATCCTTTCTCGGCTACGGTTGCTGTCGGTTTCTTTGCCTTAGGCAAAGTAATCTGGACAACGCGCATGCCGGCCTTCATACGAGATGCTAATAGTTGGAAATAGTATTAGCGTCAACACACTAGTGAGGGGGGTGGCAGATAGCACAGGGGGTGAGTGACAGGTATAGGAGATGATGGACAGGAGATAGGTAGAAACTCGGACGGACAAAAGCAATAGGGAGTGGGTGAATGTAAAGGAGATTGGGGTTGATAAGGATAAAGACGACAGCAACTATAAAATAAGGAGAAGGTTGGGTATGGATGGGGGATGATGCGACGATGGAGATAGGTTGGAAAACCATCAAGCCGGGAGCCAAAACCATCAAATATCGGACGAAGACCATATGAGACGTCAATAGCGTTGCCACTAGGCAACGCAAAAGACTCGTCGACAACGAGGCGACTTGAAGATAGAGAGGATCGAACGAGAGAAAAGATATTACTTACGAGTGACCTTGTGGGCACACCACATCGCAGGAAGCAACATCATAACTCTGTCGCAAGCTCCGGGGGTAGCTTCTCGGCGTGCATCCCGTCTCTTATCACGGGCACCTCGAAGACCAACTGAAGCAAGGGCATGAAGGGGCTTAGGGGGAGGGGAGGAGGGATCGTCACCGAGGCGTGAGTCTCGTCTTCCTTCACGAGCACCTGCGGGCGATGAGACAAAGGGATCGGAGGCGGCAGCAGCGCGGCGTAACTCCCGTCTTCTTTCACGGGCACCAGCGGCAGCTAAGATGGGGGAGACGATAAAGGGGGGAGTGGAAGGGGTACGGGGAGAGGGGGCAAGGAAGGAAAAGGGGGAACGGCCGGGAGAGAAGATGGGGGTGCGGATAGGAGTCGGCTTGTAAGGCAAGGCGGGAGGGGAGTCGGGATGGAAGATGGGACGGGCGAGGAAAGGGGTGGGTGTGACAAAGCCACGGCGAGGAGGAGGATGAAGAATAGGGGTGTGGGACCCAGTTAACCCACGACTGCAAGCAGCCGACGCTTTGGAAGGGGTGGAAAATGGCATTGCGAGTGCAAATAGCGAGAATCAGAGAAGTCAGGTATGGGCGGATCAAGAGAATTGTTGAACAGGAGAAGGTCAGAGACAGGTTCGTCCGGGACCAGCAGCACATGTGTAGTTGCTCAGCAAAAGGGGACTAGGGGTATGCTAATATCCCGAAGATGCTAACCAAAAACTGCATAATGCTATTTTCAAAAATAGACTACGCTGCTTAATTGCTAAATGGCTTACTGCTTAAGCTTATATATGCATATATGCTACCGTGTAATGGCATATCTGTATACACGAGCTTGACGAGGAGAATCGCCCTGAGGATCAATTGGGAGGTCTATAACGTGTATTATGCATCGAAGTCTATCTTATCATCGTTATATATACCATATAGATGTCACAGATGATTTTGACGAAGATATAGTTGTTGGTTGCGGAGGAATGGATGGATTTGTGTCTGGGAGGGCTGCGAAGGACGTCTGTCGAGATCTCGGGCGTGGATGGACCGGCGGTTGCGCAACAACGCGTTGGTATAACATCGTAATAATTGTAGGGACTAGTATGTATAGCATAGAGAGTCAATCGATAATATAATTTTGGTCTGAATCGATGTACGCGCTGTGGAATTAATAGGGGTGGTATTGATAGGGTTCGTCGGTAATGGATGGTCTTCAACATCGGATTTAGACAGAATAAACTATCACAAAAGGGAAACTATGGCGTCTAATGGCATCTTAGTGTAATGAGATTGAAATACATGGCAATTACACCCCTATGATGCTTGAGGAGAGTGACTACCGCCCGACATACGGGCACCGACTTCCCTCGCCGCCATATGACTTCATGCCAACCCGCAATACAAGCCGCATTATCTTTAGGAAATATACCTAACATGATAAGGTATCTGTCTATAACCACATAGCTGCAAGATGGCCTCGAAGAAAAGTCGATTGGATCCCCCTTTCTCACTGCCTGACCATCGTAAAGTAACTCCTCCTCCCAAACCTCCACGATACCGGCGACGAGACCCCGTTAAACGCGACGAGAAACGTGTATTTTAACTTAGATATCCCGTAGAATATTCTCGAATACAACTATACGCGTCCACCCGTGCTTGCTTTGCCCACAGGGCGTTGGTGTGAGACAATCATCTAAGAACAGGTCACCTTGATACTTAGCGAGACATAGGAAAGACTTTTCCTCGTTTACGAAAAGGCCTCTCTACTTAGCTTCAAGCACGAAAAGAAAGACGAATCAGCATGGAGAAACCTATCGTATTAGAACCTGCCAGTTCCTA